TCAGAGAAAGCCTCAAGATTCAAGAGATATGGCTTACATACGCAAGACACCAGATGTGCAGCAACATCACCATCAGCATCAACAGGCACATCAACAGCAAACTCAACATCATCAGTCACATCCACAACAACATCAACAACAACCCCAGCAACAACGTCACTCCCAGTCACAGCCACTTATGGACTCTCCCACTGACCAGTCTCACCAATCCCCTCATTTGTTGCAGTCTGTGTTGTCCCACACCCGCAGCAAAACAGACCCTCAGCAACAGCAGCATTCTGTAAGCCAGCAGGCCCTTATGGAAGCCACTGGGGGAGTTGTGTCAGCAGAGACCCATTCCCAGCCCCAGACATCCCAGCTCCAACTCCAGCTTCAGTCCCAGGCTTTGGAAGCAGCTGGTCACTATGGTCATGGTACCCAGCAGCAAGACCAGAGCCGCCCTAAGTCTAACACAGTGTCTTCACTAGACATGCTGGAACATTCCCTCTCTCGGACATCTAGCCAAGAGGGAGCAATGGTGGATGAGAGGACAGGAGGTGAAGGAAGCAGGGGAAATTCTGGAGCTGCAACAGCAGGAAGTGTAGAAAGGCGCCAATCACAGAAGCAACAAAGACTTTCATCTCACCACCCAACGCAGCATCATGCTTCAGAGTTACACTCATATCTTCCTGAGCCAGACATGAGTTTATCAACTACTTCTCATGGACACCACCTATCCCACCATCACCACCAACAGCAACAATCGTCACAAGGTCCTCAACATTCTAACTCCCACCATCAACACCCTCACCCCTCCCATCCTAATCAACAGAGCCATCATCATCTTCCTCCACAGGCCTCCTCAGCAGCTTCTCAGCAACAAGAGCAGTCTCACCCCTCTCACACCTCCCAGATTCCTCAACCTCAGCTTGACCAGCATCAAGGAGAGCCCCACTTTGACACCAGGAATCCAGCAGTGAAATCAAATCAAAACCAAAATCAAAGCCAACAGAGCCAGAGGTTTGTTCCGTTAACATCCATCTGCTTCCCTGATTCTCTTCTCCCAGATGAGGACCGTTCATTCTTTCCTGGAATGGAGGATATGTTCTGCACAGAGGAGTACAAATCCACTTGCTCAGGAGGAACTGGGCAGGGTCAAGATGGGGTTGCAACTGGCCAAGCAGTGCAGGAAGGAATGGAAGGAATTAAACCAACGCCCGGAGGAGGAGACAATACAGGTCCAAGTTATGATATGCTTGGTCATCACAGTGACCAAGGATATGGGCAATATTGCCATGATCTCTCAGAACCTGACAATGGAACCATGCATTTGGATCTTGACTCCTTGAAGACTCAAGAGCTCCCATCTACAGTCAATACAGAGCAGCTTGGACTGATCCAATCTCAACCAGCCAACCTTGGAATGGGGACAACTGGAACAGTGGGGGAAGGATCTGGTGCCAAAATGGGAGGTACTGGGGGATCTGGGTCTGGATCAGGGGGTCTTACCTCTCCTATCTTCTGTTCCTCTCGCCCAAAGAAGCTCCTTAAGTCCAGTTCCTTCCATCTACTGAAGGAAAGACCTGATCCAAACTCCTTGCCCAAGAAGAGCTATGCACAGGAGTATGAATTTGAAGATGACGAGGATAAGGCTGACGTCCCAGCTGACATACGCCTCAACAGCCGAAGCCGACTTCCTGATCTCATACCAGACCTTGTGTCCAGTTGTCGCAAATCAAGTGGTGTGGGAGGGGGAACTTTAAGCCCTTTAATGGGTGATCTAGATTTTGGATACCCATCTCTTGGTCCCCCTCCGCAGTTGATGCCACAAGATGGACCGAAGAAAAGAGGCAGGAAGCCCACAAAGCCTAAACGAGAAGGACCTCCAAGGCCACGTGGACGCCCACGTATACGCCCATTGCCAGAACCTCACCACTCTAGGGGTATGATGGGAGAGTATGGAACAGGATATGTTCCTGAAAGAAGCAGAGGCAGAGGAAGAGGCAGAGGCAGAGGCAGACGGGATGAATCTATGATGGACATGGAGATGACCAATAAAGACCCGAATCAGATGTATCAACAACACATGCAGCAGCAAATGCATCACCAATCACAGCAGCAGCCACAGCATGAGGAGCCAATAAAACCCATCAAGGTAAGATGTTCAAATGTAAAAAATTATAATATACAAATATAAAATTTGAGAGAGGTTGATGTGAGTTCAAACATTTGTAGTTGACGATGGACAATATATTGGGACCATATCAGTTATTGGGCGATACTAGAGTTTTTTTGTAACAGTTTTCTTCAGTATTGGATATTTAATATTACATGCTCATTTCCCTCTATGAGCCATAACATTAAAATAATTATCAGCTTTAGAGGTCGACCGATGTATCGGTTTTGCGGATTAATCGGCACCGATAGTTGATTGCCGAAACTATCTGCTATCGGCAAAAATCCATGCCGATAGTTTTTTCCTAGTTGCTTCCGTTAATTAACAAGTTAATTAACTATGAATTCATTTGAATGATCAATATATAATTTATATTTAATATTAATATTTTTGTTCATTTACAAAGAATGCTTCAGTACTGTTTTTTTTTTTTGTTTTCATACAGTATCCATTTTAAAAACTATCGGTTGATTAATCGGTATCGACCAGTGGGGTCCAACCTAGCTATCGGTATCGGTAAAATCCACTATCAGTCGACCTCTAATCAGCTTATCAGTGTCTGCCAGAATTTTATTATCGGTGCATCTCTTGTAGTTTTTGAATGATGGGACATCTGCATGTTCCAGGTTATTTTCTATAATGTCTTGTTTCCCTTTATTAGATTAAACTTCCTATTGGAACCATGCCATCTTCTGATGCCTTGTTGCGGACAGACTCCTTGTCAGGCACTGATCCGGCTCTCTCAGATGGTTCCCTTGGTTCAGCACCCTCTTTGGGATTGAGCCCTGGGACTCCCGGAGTGCCTGACATGAACAGACCTCAAGACAAGAAGTCCAAATCCCAAGAGGTATGAGAATGCAGTGTAGATCCCAGAGCTGTGTTTTTGAGCATGTTTTTACATTTTGATCTAATGAAAAATTCTGTCCCTTCATATTTAGTTGGAAGAGAAAGAGTCAGAGAAGACTGGCTTTGTTGCCTCATTTTTGGATTTTTTAAAGTCTGGAAAAAGGCCATCAGGATTGTCAACAGGGTCAGCTGACAGCGCTGGAAATGAAGATGCCTCTCCTGGGAAAAGTGGAAGCTTTCGCCCATTATCCCCTCAACCTCCACCTCCCCCAGCTGCTGCAGCTTTATCTGGATATGGAGATGGTGAAAGTGATGGAGGACTGTCTTTGGGTGGCTGTCCTAGCCCATGCAAGCGTTTGGATGAAGAGCTGAAAAGGAACCTTGAGACATTGCCCTCCTTCTCGTCCGATGAGGAGGACTCTGTCGGAAAGAACCAGGACCTGCAAAAGAGCATCTCCTCTGCAATCTCTGCCCTGTATGACACTCCTCAACTCACCTCTACAATGCAGCCTCCTTCACTTCCACCA